TAGTCATTTTTATTTTTGTTTCAGGATAATATCGTTCAGTCTTAGAATTTTTTTTTCAATTCGATAAAATACTTTTTTTTAATGCATCTTCGCCGTCGCCGGAAAAAAATGGAGCTTGCTCTTTTTTTTTTCTTTCTTTTTCATCATCATTCTAACTCTTAAAAGCTACAACTACAAACGCTATAATATATTATTATTATTATTATTATACGACGTCGAAAAAATAATGTACGCGTTTACACCTTTTCTTGCATTTAATACTAACGTTGTTTAACACACTTATTTTTCTCGTTTTTTTTTTTATTTTTTTTTTAATGCGTACAATTCTATGAGAACTAATCTAAATTCTAAAAGTATCTCGGCTAAAATCACACAACATGCGGCTACATGTCTAACAATAGAAATTGTTCCCAAGTATAGATTGTTTCAGAAACTGCATATTCGAATACAGATTTTTTTTTTTGTGTAAGCATTTATACTTTTTTGCGCGGTCCTTAACGCCTTTATTTTCTCTGTCTCTTAATGGACGCCTTAATTCTTTATTAAATGTACCACAACTTACTGAATGAAAGTAATAACTGCATTTATAGTTAAAAATTGTATTAAAACAGCTGTTAATTAGAATTAGAATTATAATTTTTTAATAAATAAATTCTAACTTTTAAAAAGACTTACCAAAAGAAAGCTCGAAAAAATTGTTATTATTAAAATTACCTTAAATTCGTTTGAAACCAACTACGAATAACAGCACACTACACTTTTCATACTTAATTTTAATTCAAAACTTATTAAATATCGAAAATTTACCTTTAAAATGAAATCGATTTCAATTTTGAGGTTATGTTACGTTGTTTACACTTTTATGTCAAAAGTCTTAATGACATTTTTAGTACCAACCTAAAAATTTATTATTTCAAATTTAACTATCAATAAATTAATTTCAAAATTGCTTTTAAATGGATTAAATCATCTAGAAAACGTTCCAAATAACAAATTAAAAAGTAATTTGCAAATTTATAACAATAGGAATCTCATGTAATTCGAATTACGATCCTCAATTGGCTTATATTAATCATTGAATAAAATATATATTGATAACCATTGAATTTAGAGGCTTCCAAATTGTTTAATCCAACCCAAGTTGAAGTACATCACGTTTAAATGTAGACTTTACATTTAGTAAATAAAGAAATTCCAAAAGAAAAATCTAAAAATTGATATTGAATCGAAAAAATTGTTATTATTAAAATTACCTCAAATTCGTTTGAAACCAACCAAGAATAACATTACCGTATACTGTTTATACTTAATTTTAATTCAAAACTCATTAAATATCGGAAATAATTTATAAAATTGATTAAAAATAAAATCGATTTCAATTTTGAGGTTATGTTACGTTGTTTACATTTTTATGTCAAAAGTTTTAATGACATTTTTAGTACCAACCTAAAAATTTATTATTTGAAATTTAACTGTCAATAAATTAATTTCAAAATTGCTTTTAAATGGATTAAATCATCTAGAAAACGTTCTTAATAATAAATTTAAAAGTAATTTGCAAATTTATAACAGGAGGAATCTCAAGTAATTCGAATTACGATCCTCAATTGCCTTATATTAATCATTGAATAAAATATATATTGACAATCATTGAATTTAGAGGCTTAGAAATGATCTCCAAGGATTGAGACAAGTAAATACTTGAGATTTTTGTAATCAATGATGTTAATTTCATGTATTATAGTTACCCTAACTTCCAGACTGTTTAATTCAACCCAGGTTGAAGTACATCACGTCTAAATGTAAACTTTACATTTGACAAATAAAGAAATTCCGAACGAAAAACCTAAAAATTTATATTGAGGGGAAATATTAATCGAAAAAATTGTTATTATTAAAATTACCTCAAATTCGTTTCAAACCAACCAAGAATAACATTACCCAATACCGTTTACACTTAATTTTAATTCAAAACTTATTAAATATCGAAAATAATTAATAAAATTGATTAAAAATAAAATCGATTTCAATTTTGAGGTTATGTTACGTTGTTTACATTTTTATGTCAAAAATTTTAATGACATTTTTAGTACCAACCTAAAAATTTATTATTTCAAATTTAACTATTAATAAATTAATTTCAAAATTGCTTTTAAATAGATTAAATCATCTAGAAAACGTTCCAAATAACAAATTAAAAAGTAATTTACAAATTTATAACAGGAGGAATCTCTAATTCGAGTTAAGATCCTTAATTGCCTTATATTAATCATCGAATAAAATATATATTGATAATCATTGAATTTAGGGGCTTAGAAATGATCTCCAATGATTGGGACAAGTAAATTCTTGCGATTTTGGTAATCAATGATGTTAATTTCATGTATTATGGTTAAATGTAAATATGTTAAAATTACCTTAAATTCGTTTGAAACCATTCAAGAATAACATTACCCTATACTGTTTATACTCAATTTTAATTCAAAACTTATTAAATATCGAAAATAATCTATAAAATTGATTCAAAATAAAATCGATTTCAATTTTGAGGTTATGTTGCGTTGTTTACATTTTTATGTTGTTTTAATGACATTTTTAGTACCAACCTAAAAATTTTATTTTTATTAGAAATTTAATTATCAATAAATTAATTTTAAATAAATTAAATCATCTAAAAAACGTTCTAAATAATAAATTAAAAAGTAATTTGCAATTTTTCATCATTAGTATCGATTTGATCGAACAATTAGTTCAATTTGAATTTGAGGTTATGTTGATTCTAAATTTAGCCAATTTTTAAGCATAGATTAATATTTTATTTATTAATAAATTAAATTCTAATTTTTTGACTTAATTTACCAGCTGTTGAAGAATTAAACTTCATTTCATGTATAAAAAGATATTTTTCCATTCAGTACGTTGTTTTAATTAATACTTTATATTCTTACCTCATTTTTTTGTGCCGTGCGCTATAAAAACGTATCATTTTCGATTCACCACTTAAATTAAACTTAATTTCTTCTTCATTAAACAAATAAAAAATTTAATGTTTGACAGCGACACAACCTTATTATAACCTAACAAAATGGCTATATTTGAGTTGTGGTTGCTTAGCAACGGGTAACCTAAAATTTAAGTAATGAATCAAAAATAATGTTTAAATAAAGATATAAAAGAAATTTGGAATTGTAACGAGTGCACACATTCAGTAATAACTACTTAGAAGAACTAAAAAGTAAAAGAAAAGAAATAAATAAAACTCAAAAAAAAATAATTTTTTTTACGAAAACTTGCTGAACTGTATTAATCATATAAAAAAAGCATTTTACAACAATAAATCAAAAAATAATAATAATAGAGGAGAAAAAACAAAAACAATGTACAATATTTAATTTAAAGAACAAAGTTTTTTACCATTAAAATTATATAACTAACAACAAATATTAATTATTATTACATATTAATATAATAGTGTTTTGGAAAGAAAAGCGAATTCAACATTTCGCGTTCAAAAAATAACCTGAACTTGTCTCTTCTTGGTTGTGTATTTCGTATTTTTTCTATTAATAATAATAATAATTAAAGAACTTCTTTTTCTCTCACTTGCCTTTGTTAAAAATCATCAAATTTGTTTAAATCAAAATGAAATGCATTAATATAAATAGCACAAAACATTGAATCCACCCGTAAAGAAGCAGAACCGAAACAAAAAAAAAAAAGAAGGAAACTATTTGTTTGAATGAGATCACATTTTAGCCCTTCCTTTTTTTCCAATGATGATTTATTTATTCTTTTTTAAAATGTAATGTAAAAAAATTAACCAGTTGTATGTGTGTGTGAGTGTTTCAAAAAAACGAACAGTCTTTTTTTTTGTATTACTAAATAAGCAAAATAATAATAACAATGATTCAAAATAGTTTTGTATACATATAAATTATCGTTATAAATTATTAAAATAAAAAAAATGTAATCGTAATAATAATAATGGTAATAGCGATAATAATAATTAAGTTTCCATGTTGATTTGAGATTTTTTTTGGGTTTGATCGTAATTAAACTTGGTTTTTTAAATTTTCGTTTTATAAAAAATAGAGGGCGTTTTTAAAAAATTTATCGTTTTCATTAAACAGTGCTGTCGCCATCTATTTTTTTTTTAACGAAAATAATCGAAAATGTTTAAATAATAACGTCCAATACATCAACAGGAGAAAAAATAACATTTGTAGTAAAAAAAATATTAGACGTTGTTAGTTATCCATAAAAATTAATTAACAAAGTTTTATTAAGAGCTCCCCAAAAAAGTGATTAATCCCAACAACATCAAATTGGTTTAATTTAAATAATAATAAAAAATTATCTTAAATAATAATAATAATAGGGTTTTTTGAGATAATAGTGGCGCTTGGTTATTATTTCTAAGTAATAAAAAAAAAACAGAGAAAAATAATTAACTGAACATGTACACACATTTAAAAAAAAACTTTCTTTGTGAATACGTCTCATCATTTCGATTGTTATCTTAATCTTGGCAGCGTATTATTTCGTTTTTAACAAGGTTGTAATAAGAAATAAAAAACAAACTCTATGTTACTACACTCTACACAAAAACTATCTCAAAAATAATACAAAAATTTACTAGGTAGTAGTATTTAGGTGTAGGTATAAAATATAACAAAAAAACTACTAAAAGTAAAGAGAAAAAATACTAAAAACCTAGATAACTAAGTAAAAAAAAAGTACAAAATAAAATTACACAAAAAATAGAGATGGAAATACGTTTAAAAAAAAAAGTTTAAAGGCACGGCACGATTTTAAATTTTAGATTTCAAATTTTATCTTATTTTAAGTTTGATTTCATTTAGGCGCAACATTAAGACCTTACAAAAAAAACTACTAATTCATAAGTAAATCTAGTAACAATAGGACAAATATTTTAAGTTTCACTTTTGTTTTTTATTAATTCATTATCTTTTTAAATTTTATTCGTTCGTTTTTTTTTCTCTTCCTCCCGTGACTAGGATTTTTCTAAATAACACTTACAAGAATCACGATTACAACAAATACAATAACAATTTTCCCCATCAAGATTCATCGTTTCTTAATAATCATTAATTTTTCTTTTTAATGTAAAGCGTCTCTTGAAAAACGAACGAAAAAAAATCCAAAATACGACATATTTGGTACATATGACACGAATCATGATTAATTTGATATTACTTTTTGTTGTTCTTTAGAAAAAATTTACCTGTTTTTATTGTTGTCAAGTTTAAATTAAAAACTTTTAGAGCCCGATGGGCGGCACTTGCACGTACCGGTAGATGTACAGTCTGTAATCTTTGCTGGCCAATACGACGGATCCATCATCCATTAACGCAACATCGAAACATTGAGCGTGCTTCACTTTACTCTCCAATGCTGATACCAATTGACCGTCTTGAGTGAATATCGTTAAGTTGAAATTATTATGGTTATCCGCAATTAGAATTTCTCCCGCTGCGTTTATTCCCACTCCAATTGGATAATTTGTTATACCTAAATCAAAAAATAATATAAATAATAGACTTAAATACAATTAACGGAATATAAAAACTTAAGCTATAATAACATAATTATAATATGTAATTTTAGACTTGAGCAACCAAATTATTTACCATTTATTGCCACAACTAAGAATACAAAATTACATAAGTTACACAAGAAGAAAAAAACAATGAGAAAAAAAAAATAATAAGTAGTATCAGCATAATATTTACTGAATATGGCAAGTACTGATAATTAGATATTATTAACATTTATCACCAAATAAGATTAATCAGGGAAAAAGAGAAAAACAAAGAAAAGACACGAAGAGACAGAGAGACCAAAAGAATCTGCCAGATATCAGTTGCCAACAAGTGAGAGCAGTTGAAGAGAGGAAAAAAGAGAAAGGCAAAGAACAAAGAATCAGGAAACAGCTAATTGAAGGGCAAGCAAGTGGCTCTTTAAAACATGTCCAAAATTAGCAATGTTAGAAATATTACGAATTTCAGAAGGCAGTCTGTGATAAATTTCAGTGCTATGAACAGGAAATAGTATCAGAACGTGAACGAATAGAGTTGATAATTGCTGAAACCTATCTGATAAGTACTTTGGGATGCAGTTATGAAGGATTTTAAATAAAATGGTTAATAAACGAAAAGATCTACGTCAAATATGAACCAGATGCAATTATTTTGTAGCCGCTGCAATTTACTCAGAAGAGTCACTGAGAGATAGGGATAAACCGCGTCCGCATAGTCGAAGTGAGGAAATATAAGTAAGCAGAGATTAGTCTTTTTAAAGAGTGGAAGCAAGCATAAACTTTTCTGCAAACATGTTGAATTTGCGGTTTCCAAGACAGTGCAGAATCAATAAGGACTCCAAGATTATTAACTGTGTCAGAAAACCCTAGATGGATTAATCTTACCAAATAATTGACGAGTTCCAAACACAATAGCTTGCGTTTTAACTGAGTTCAACTTAAGTCTGTATCTCCGAGACCAGTTCAAGACCTTAGATAGATCGTTATTAAGTCGCACAATAACTTTCGGAAATTCAGCAACACTTGTAGTAGTATATATCTGGAGGTCGTCAGCATACAAATGATAATTACACGAGATATAATTAGTAACACCATTAACAACCCAATACACTGTCCTGAGGAACACCACATTTAATTGCACAAGCAGAAGAAATTGAAGAGTTGGCGCGTACACACAAGGAGCGATGGGAAAGGTAAGATTGAAACCAAGAAACACAGGAGGGAGTGAATCCGTAGGCAGAAAGAGACGCCAAAAGAAGGTTGTGGTCAAAGTAACACATCTGTTGTCGCATAGATACATAGTTGTACTATGCCCACTGCGAAAACCCGATTGCAACTCATTATGTAAATGAAACTTGTCTAGAAATCCTTGAATCTGTAAATAATAATCGGACGGAAATCAGTGTTACATGAAGAGGGCTTAGATTTGGGTATGGGAACGACATGAGCAACCTTCCAGACAGAGGGAAATAAAGACCGCTCAAAAGAAAAGTTGAAGATATGAGTTAAGGGAGGAAGCACTATATCCAGAATAGGAAGATGTTATTCCGCCAAATGTTATTTCTAAGGTATTATTATTATTGCTGCAACCTCTCTCATCACCGCGACCTATAATATCTATTGTAACCTAATCCCTCCAAAAGTTTCGGGCAAATGTAGGTCCTTTATGAACCTTAGTATTGCTCCAAGGTCTTGTTCCTTTATGTCGGTAGGTGTCAAAAAAGCTTTACCGAAATTTTGTGTCTTAGGCGGCCTCTGACGACGCATTCACACAGTATAGCGTGGGTCAATAAAGTATTTGTATACAATATATGTTTCTAGTATTTTGTTGATAATCCATTATTGTCGAACACCCTCTTTAACCTAATAGGCATAGAATTGACTAGTTTTTTTCGTTACATTTGTAGATTTGGTTCCTTCAGGTCTATTTTATTGGAAATATTTTTTTTTGTAACTTCAAATCCCAAAGATTTTTTATCCGAATTAAATCAGGACTCTGGGGAGGATGGGGAAGTACTTTAGGCACTTTATACAACATCCATTCTTTAACTATACGTGCAGTATGTTTAGGGTCGTTGTCTTGTAAAAAGATGTAATCGTCTTTCATATTCAATTCGTCGATACTTTTTGAAATTTCTTCTTGGAAAATTGTTAAATAACCTTTAGCTTTTAAAATTCTCTCAATAAAATGTTATTGGCCGACTCCATTATATGACCACCACCATGTTTCACAGTGGCTACTAAATAATTGTCCTTCTGGAATTCGGTATTTGATTTACGCCAAACCATTTGTCTTCTGTCTGATCTAAAGATATTGAATTTACTCTCATCCGTGTATAAAACTTCGTCTTTATACATTTTTGCATATTCTATGCGTTTCCTTTTATTAACTTCTCTAATAAATGCTTTCTGGACAGACCTTTTCCGATGTCGATTCGATACTTCCGGTTAACGTTCTTGTACTAATTCTTGGATTTTTCTTCACTTCCTTCAGAATTTGCCTTTCATCCCGACTGTTTAAAATTTTTTGTAACTTTGTGATTATGTAGTAAACTGTTCTATGTGGTTTGTTAATATTTGCAACAACTTGGCGTAAATTTTTGCCTCGTTTAGTTCTTTTATTTTCCGACCTCCGACCCTTCGTTTGTCTGTGACCTGGAAGTTCTTTCCAGCGTAAGGCTACCTTTGGGGCTTCCCAACTATTAATTACCTATTTTAAGTATCTTTTTTGTAGTCCACAGCAGGGTTGGGGTACATGTAGGGCGTTCTCTCTGCCTCTTTGGCAGAAGTTTATAGCAAGAACTTCAAAATGCTTAAGTCCCAGCTGATGGGCAATTTAATGTGGCTATTTGGTACATACTTCCGGATCTAACTGTCTTTGCAGCATAGATCGTACCAGGCAAGGGCTCTTCTTTTAGGTTGAGGCTCACCCTTCGTCCAATCATCTTTGCTTCTAAATATGACCTTACACGGCTGGTCGAAATTATATTTTGTCAGTATTAGATCCGTTTTAATTTCAATTAAGTGGTTTAGACATGGGTCCTTGAGTATTTCTGAGTGAAGAGCATGATTTCAGTGATATAGCCTCCTTTTGTATGTATAATTGAAGTGGTGTGAGAAGTCGTTGAACAAGATCTCATTGCACTCGTTATGTTAAGACATGCTAACCGCTGGGTTTGTGCCACCTGTTGTTGTACTATCTTGTGTTTTGTATTTGGCCAACAACCAGTGAGACATAAGCAATACGGGTCTGATTTAGTGCGCCATTCGTGGTTTAATACCCCAGTTTCCTCACCTTGACTAAGTGGGAGTTCCAGTTTAATTTACTGTTTAGTATTACCCCTAGGTATTTGACTTCGATTAATAGTTTTGCCTATTTCTAAGATTATTAAGGACGCAAATCCGTTTTTAAGATTATTTCTTGTTTTTGAGATATTTAATATTTACCAATTTCTACACAGAATCATGTTTTGAATGTAATTGAAGTGACGGTTTAGGTTAAATTTTAGTTGTCAAATGTCAATATTACCAACTTAAACCAAAAAAGCATAAAATTATCACCGCTTTTTTTTTAAATTCATCTTTACTTTTTAATAGAATGTCGGTTTAATACAATTTAAAAAGCTCAAAATCCAGAATTAATCTTGACAAACGGATTAAAGATTCGAGCGCATTAAATTACGTTGAGAATCGTTCTCGTTTAATCGGGTCGAAACGTAATTAACAATTTTGGCTCTTTTATATAGTTTATGATTTTAGTGGATATGTAATTATGTTAATTAAGCTTTACTATAAGCATTTAAATTGAGTATATTGTTAAAGATTAATCAAAAAATGCATCTTTAAGAATCTTATTACACGGAATCGCCTAACTAATATATTTTTGTTACCTTGTAAAAGATGGTGATAATAATACGTTGAATATTAATCAATATATACCATAGCTTCTTTATATAACAGCATTTTTATAACAATTTTGATTTATAATAATTTTATAAAAGATCAAAGTGCGCATGCGCAAGTTTGATATAATAGTTGTGGAACGCTTCCGTTCGCGGCGCTGTAATCGGTTTGTTTTGGTGTTTAATTTATTGAAAAAAAAAGTTAATATTTTTCGCGAATTAACTTAATTGGCAATTTTTGGTACCTTATTATTACTAGTAAGTACTCATATTCAACCTTTTGTAACATTTATCAACCCACTTCGCAATTAATTATTATAGGTTATTTAACATTAATTTTAGGTTATTTGATATCAGTTAATTCTTTATTGAATTCTGATACAACTATCTTGTTGATATGAAGAAGTGATTGAAACATACATTTACATGATGATGGAGTAAAGAAGGTATGTAACTTTCTGATTTACATGGTTCCTTATTGCTTCTTTTGAAATGATACAAAAAACACTTGTGATTAAGACAAATTTTGATTGTTATTAACCCTCATTGATATTATTTGTGTTTTAGACATAGAGATGATAAAGTCTAAGTGACAACAATTTAAAAAATTCGATATCTAATTATTAAATAATAAAATGAAATTTACCTTCACCTCCAATTTGTCTCAAATAAGTTCCCTCGTAGTTAAATACTTTAACGCAATGGGCACGATTATCGGAAATAAATATTTCTTGTTTATCGTTGACGACGACTCCATTAGGAAACTCTAGGTGTTTGGAACAGCCAAATTTCTGCAAAACGGCCCCCGTTTGATCGAAGATAATCACCCGCATCACTTTGCACTCGACGACGATAATGCGGCCTTTATTATCGACGGTGACGCCGCGCGGATGTTGCAAAATATTTGCGCCGAATTTGCGAACAAACTGTCCGTATTGATTGTAAATTTGTATTTGGTGCGTTGGACTACGTTCTGTGACTATGATGTCGCCGGATGTTCGCACGACCGCCACCCTATTCGGATATAAAAGTTGACCGTCGCGTTTTCCGCACTCGCCAAATTGGAATTTGAAGCGACCTTCTTTGTCGAAAATCTGGATTCGGTGGTTGTTGGTGTCCGCGACGATTATATCATTCTGGGCGTTTACTGCTACACCAGAAGGTTCCGTAAACTGACCCTCCATTACGCCGAATTCACCGAACTTGCAATGATAAATCATTTTTTGGCGTTTTATTTGCGATTTTGGCGGGAATATGTTTGTTGACATCAGTTTAGAACTTAAATCAAGCATTGTGTCCGCATGGGAACTTCCGTTTGTTAAGCTATAAGGATCTAAAGAAAATAAAAATTAATTTGAATTATTTAGAATTAAAAAATTTCTTACCATTTTGAAAGATTTCATTTCCGGCATTAGACCATTTCTCATAAGCACTTAAACCGTTAACGTTAAGCCCATTTAATCCATTTAAACCGTTACTCAATCCGTTCAGATCGCCACCGATCACCGAATTCGTTACCCCGTTGTTAGCATTGGAAGACGTTGTGGAAAACGGTCCCAAACTGTTGGCTGAACTGAACCTTTTCGAAATAATATTTGATTCAAACGGTGATGTCGATTGACTTGAACCGCTCGTTATCGAAAAGGCACAAGTGCTGCCACCGCCGTTGGTAGAATTTGTTGAACTGGTGGAACTGGATGAGTTGGTGGAATTTGTAGGTCTGGCTATTGGTGGTTGTTTGCTAACACCACCACCTCCGACAAAGTTGATGTTCAAGTTGCCGCCGCCTACGCCCGATTCGGAATTATTGGTTGAATTTGATCGAACGTAGCCGAAAGTATTTCGAACGCCGACTTGGATCGCTTGATAATTGGACACGAATTCGATTTCACCGATGAGGCTGGAATTGTTTGCGGGGTCAAAATTATTTGAACTGTTGATCAGGTTTTGTAATTTTCCATCCAAAATTCGCCGCAACATAATGATCTCGTAAAAGTTGCCGCATTTATTTAATTTTTCAAAAAATTCGGACGTTTTGTAAATACTATCGATCAGTTCTTGTCCTTTTTGACTTGTTACTCCTAACGCTATTTGTTTCGCCGAGTAAACGCTTTCCAGTTCTTTCAAGAGTTCATTCTTTCGTTCATCCAACATCGAACGATAAAATTGAAACGTTTCAGAGATTTCATTTTGAGCCTTATGATATTGAATTTGTAACTTGTTGCTAATGTGTTCGACGTTTTTGATTACGTTCTTGATATCGTTCGCCTTCAATTTAGCCTCTTGCAACAGCAAATTGATCGCTTCAAATTGTTGTTTCGAGAACGTTTCCGCCGAGAAATTTTCCAATTCGTGCAAACTATGCTCGATCGTGATACACTCTTTGCACACCGGCACCATACACGTTTTACAATAATACTTGAGCGGTTCCGTTTTGTGTTTAACGCAAGCGGAAGAGGAATTGGACGATTGTATCGACAACGATTGTTGTTGGCTCTTCGTGGTGGAATCTTCTTTGTGATCATTAAAATTGATGACTCGATGACCTTCGAAGCAATGCATGAAATTGTGCGCCATGACGCAGTTCGGGCATAAAAAATTGCAACAATCTAAGCAACGGGCTATCGCCTCAAATTTAATTGTTTTGCAAGCGGTGCAACAACTCCTCACTGCCGACGTGGTTGTCGTATTCTCTTGGTTGTTGAGGATGTTTTCTAAGTTTTCGGTAAATAGTTGACACTTGGAACAAATGAATTTATTCTTTTCGTGCGTAGTCAAATTTTTACCACTGGAAGACGATGGCTCGTGGCATTGGAGGCAAACGACCACCGCCGTCAAACCGTCTTCTAAGTTGTTTTCGGTCGCGCAATCGACTGCTATCGATGGACTCGAATTGCTAACCGTTAAAGGAGAATTATTCGAAGACACGTACGAGAGGAATTCGTCTGGATTTTCAGAAAATGATCCTAAAGAATTTGCTCTGGATATTGAAGTTGAATCTATTGAAGTCGGGGATGCCATATTTATCTCCTAGCCTTCATCCCTAAAAGTAAAACCAAAAATTAATGTTATTCATACTTAATTAAATCAATTAATTCATTTTAGGTTAAAGAAGAATGAAATAAAAATGAGCAAGATTAAGAAAGCAATTTCTTTGTTGGTTATAAAAAAAAAGGAATTAAAAATAAAGGTTAATAAGATGAGATGGGTTAGAAGAATAAAAGAATATATTAAAAAAGAATCAAAATAAAAACAAAAATATTGTCCGTTAGGCAACAGAATGGGACGAAGGGAGGGGCGAGGCGGCGGCGGGACATCGATCGGATATAGGGGAGCCCCGACACGTTACCATAGCAACCGGATAGGGCTGCGACCCCTACGATCCGGTCGTCCCGACGCTGCAAACTCACCCCTCACAGTGCCGCCAACCCCACTAAACTAAACTATTTATTATGTGCGAAACAAAAAAAAAGGACCAACGACGATGGTTTCGAAAACGTTTCTTGCAACCCCTATAGTACACTATATTCCCCGCTAATAAGCATAAAACATCGGTTACACCAAGACCGTTATTATTATTTTTGAGAAATAAAAACAGAACTTGTTGCATACCAACAAAAATGAAATCTCCAACAAAGAATGGTTACTTAAGAATGATCGTTTTTTGTAACGGTCGATTTCCGGGAAATAAAATTTTTTTATATAAAATTACATACCAAATATTATACACATCAACGATGAACATAGAAAAATATATAGCACGCACAACACGCACTCAGGTAAAAAAAATTTCGAAAATGTGATGCAGAAGAAACGAACACACCACGAGGCTGAGGCTCAACAGGGACAAAAGAAATATCCCACCGAACTGAGGGCCACAGTTTTCTGTGAATGGCACTAACGACAACCGTAGGGGTGGGCAGGAAAGCGTCTGGTAGCGCGCGAGCGATGATGGTTGCTGGCGCGGGGTTTCCAAAGGGACGCGGGGAGAGAGGTAGTGGCGCGTTCCAGACCAAACCGACGCACAACGATTCTACGCGACCAGAACGAACGACGACCGATGGACTGATCTAGAAGGAAGAGTGTTATCGAGGGAACCCACGATGGAGTTCAGAGTACCTATACTCGAAGAGGGAGCAGGAAATGAAAAAACACTTTTCATCTCAATTCTACGTATAAAAAATTACATTAACGTCGATGAGTCACCAAAAAAAATATGAAGTTTATGATGAAGAAATTTCTGGATTTTGATTAATTCCACTAATTTTTATGTTTAATTGAATATCAATGCGATCATCAAGTTAAGATAATGCTTATTGAGCTATATCTATTACCATAATAATTTTATTGTCAAGGGGTGTTCTAAAACGCTTTGTTATGTCCTATTTTCATTTCCAACCGCGATAAATGATTATGTTTTATCTAATATTAATAGATTTACTGCTATGCATATATTTACATTTAACGTTTTTGAAATGATAAAAATATGTATTAAGGTGAACAAATCATAGTTATATACAGCAAGTAAATGTGTTAATCTATTTAATCAGCTGGATGTTATGGGGTTCACCTGGAGTTTTTTACAATGACAAAGACCAAGACATGGAATTTATATCAGAGAATAATGATGAAACACCACTAATAGATTAACTGACTTTCATATTATTGAAAGCTTGGTGAAATGAAGTTATATAGTACATATATGGGGAGAAGAAGTGAGTTACACCTTCTAATGATATTGTATTGGATTGGATTGCTCGTCCAAGTTGTTTTCGGCAATATTTTTGCCAATATATCGATGTCTTGGAATTATAGTACGACTAATCAGTTCAAACAAGAACTGGTTGAGATGGGGAAAGTTTGGATATCAGATGGTCCTAATTGATGCCGCACGTAGCAAACCTAAGAAGTAACAAGTATCCCAATATAGATATTGAATCATAAACAATTTTGTCTATTGTAACTCTTTTGGAACTTGGAAAAAGATGGCAAAACGTGGTATTAACACTGCATAATATTCAAATGAAGGGTGTTATTTCCATGTTGCGTTCTGTTGCTAGTATAAAGAGTTTATTGATCAATTAATTATTTTCGTATCTAGATTTACTGCTATGCATATATTTACATTTAACGTTTTTGAAATGATAAAAATATGTATTAAGGTGAACAAATCATAGTTGTATAGAGACAGCAAGTAAATGTGTTGATCTATTTAATCAGCCGGATGTAGTAGGGTTCACTACATCACCTGTATTTTTTGACAATGATAAAGACATGGAATTTATATAATGACGAAACACCACTAATAGACTAACTAACTTTCATATTATTGAAAGCTTGGCGAGATGAAGTTGTATAATACATATCACTTCTAATGATATTGCATTGGGTTGGGTTGCTTGCACAACATTTTTGCGAATATATCTCTGTATGCAATATATCTCTTGTTTTTCAAAGGACTTGGTATGGGGTAATGATCTCATAAACACATAAGCTATGAAACAGCTTGTTTCCAAAAAAAAACTTTCAAAATATTCGAAATATTTCCAAAAAATTTATAAGGATTTCCAAGAACATCCATATATTAATAATCATTTCTGAGAATTTCAAAGTATAATCAGCAATGTTTAAGGATTCTTAGCGATACCTAAATGCTTCTAAGAATTATTGCGAGGATTTTCATTTAAGTCATTACAATAAGCTATAAAAAGCTACAGATTGATTTCAGCGTATATTTGTGACGTCACAAGCAGCGAAAATATCTTATTGTTAGTACCACGTCAGCAATTTATATCTATTTTATCGTCGATTCTTGCATATAGCCTTCAAAAGTAGAGTTCTATTATGATTAGTAACCAATTATTGCTTTCCAATTTCATTCTAGATATATCCACGTTTGGCATAAACGTTTTTGTTCCTCCGGACTCTTTTGACACTTGGCAAAAGATGGAAAAACGTGGTATTAAAAAATTTTCCGTATCTATATCAAGATGGACGTCAAAGTATCGGTTGGGTTGAGAAACTTTTTACCTACAAACCAACTTTCGTTTTATGATTTCTACTACGTATCTAGTTTTAGCGTCTAAATTCGCTCTAAACTCTTTCTTCTTCCTATTCTCAGAACGCCATCATGCACCAAGGTAGATTCCTGAGGAATCTTTGTCGTTACCACAAACATTTGATTGCGGAGCTATTATTTTCTGCGTTTGCTAAACTCGTATTGGTGATCTTAGATCCTTTCTCAACTACTTCCTTATTCAGTCTCCTCCTGATCAAAATCTCCATCTTTTTTGTGATTGTCTCGAGCCAGATTTTAGAATATCTCTCTTTTTGATACATTAATTATATATATATATAACTTTTTTTGTATCAGAAAAAAATATTTTTGTTTCTGCCTATCTCTGTGATTAACAACTTTCTAGTTTGATGAACTTAATTCAATTCATAACAAAACGAACCCCGTTAAATTAAATTTATTGATTTGGTTAAAAGTTCTTAAGGTTAATTTTCTAGATTTTTATCCAATATCTTTTTAAAGCTACTTTAAGGGCCTTCTTCGAATTCTTAATACCCTAAGTCTACCTGTTTCGATCGTCCCTTTTTTTCCTTCCAGAAGGTGTTTCTTCCCTTTTGACCTGCTCGCCTCCAAGATGATAAATTTGAAAATCTTCTTAGAAAAAAGTTTCTATCCTCACTTCTTGGTACACATTCTTCCTTTCTTAGTCAACATTGAAACCTTTCTTCACGAATTTTTAAATACTTTTAATCTAATGATAAAGTTTTTGAACGATATTTCGCTTATTAAGTCATCATCTTTTTTACGACCGCGCAATCGTCCAACAGGATCGAAAATACTTTCACTTTGAAAGTAGAGTCTAGTGCGATCTACTTATGTTTGTTGTACAACACGAAACGAAGGTCTTTATTACGTAAACCAATCGTTGTCGTCCAGTTTTGTAGCTTATGCGAATAAAATACCAAGGTGTTCCGATAGATGAATGTAATTTTAGAGTGGAAATTAAAAGATTTTTAAAGTTGGGATTTTGATGATGAGATGAAATTGTTGAGACAATATGGGTTTTATATTTTCGGGAAGCCTGAGCCAACGAAGAACCGGATGACCGACCGACGCCGGGTTCAAGGGGAAGAATTTAAGTAGTAGTCACGCCTACGTGACTACTTCAAAGACCTCTGCGTCACTCGCTCTCCCCACAGCCAGTTTGTAACGCAAGACATTCACACAAGACGTTGTCCAGACTCGAGAATAAATTCTTTCCTAGAACCGGATATAGGAATTTCTTGTGGTCGTGGCTGATGAGCGGGTACGCGACCTCACTTGAATTTTTTCCAATTAAAAAAAAGAAGTGGATCATCAATTTAAATCAGTCTCTTATTATTTAGCTGTTCGTTTATTTATTTTTCGAAACTATTTATTTACTATAGTGTAAAAACGCGATATCCGTCCTTAGATGACATCAACAAACTAGAACGGGGACATATGGCATCCTGTTTTTAGTATAACCATGTGTTATTACCATCGTCATATGGTGACATTAACAGAAAAACTTAAACTAATTTCAAACCATCGATTTCGGAATTAAGTTTCAACAACAAAAAAGAAAAGAGAGTATTTAAATCTTTGATAATGATGACGATGATGAAAAAGTGAACGTTCCTCTACGTAATAATAAGAACTTATTATTGTTCGAGTTGTGCTACTTTTTTGTTGCAACGCGCGCGTTCGTCGCTGGTTGCGCAAGAAACAATGTGCAAAGTGGGACGGCATAGTTTTCTGTTTCAGCACTAATTCTGCGTTAGAGATACACTACTTGCGGGGAAAGTTGTTCGATCAAGGTCGATTAAATCCTAAGCAACATTAACTTTTCTTGCTTATATTTGAATATGTCCTTTTCTAATTTCATCTAGTAATCATAAATTAATGATGAATCATTATTAATGCTAAAAATGATCTCCATTTCTTTCATTATTATGTAAGATGAATCGTTCTACTTTCACCGATTCACGCTCGCAAAAAAAGCGAAA